CCCACTATCACTATTTGAAGGACAATCGAATTCCAATGAAATGAATTTGTAAAAATTGCTTCATTTTTACGATTTTCAATTTTATTTTCCTTTTTTTTTTGTCATTTTATGATCATTATTGTATTATAATGATGTAGATTATAAATAATTTAAAAAACAATTGGAAAATATAGGAAAAAATTAATTAGGAAAAAAAATAATATGAAAGTGAATTTGTAAAAGCAAAATGTTAACATTATTATTTCTATAGAAAATTCACTTTAAATGCAAGACTCGCTGCATAGAATAAACTTAGTCATGAATATATATCTAAAGCTTCTTTGGAAAATTCAACCTCCAGTGACCGTTAAGGGAATAACTGGTGAAACTACGCCAATAAGTCAACAATGACTTGGCTTCCTTTCATTAGGGAATCGCTTCTCTGCACACGTGAGCATAGATATGTCACTAGAGAATGCGCGACCACGTGCACATGAACATGCATCGTGTGTAACGGGACTAAAAGTGGGCCAGGCTTTTGGGAGCACAGCCAAGCATTATTATTATTTGAACCGAACCTGCATTATGTCAACTGCCTTCATAATATGTATATATATATATATATATATATATATATAGCCATTCAACGAACCTTCTAAGGTTCGAATTTAAATTTCAAAATGCAGAACAGGTTTTCATGCAAATTATAAATGCTCATGCTTTTAAGCTTTTTTGGAGAAATTGAAAGAAGAAAGAAACATTAGAAGATTTGTGATTTTGATTAATTATTTAATTTTATTATTAATAATTATTTTATTTATTATTATTTTATTTTATCATGTGAGAATTGTTGAAGGATTATAGTTTTTAGAATTATAATGTGATTGAGCGAGTGAAAGAGATGAAACTCAAGAGAATTGAGTCGAAATTATATGAATGTTGAAAATTATGCAATCATGGTTGAAATATCATTAAACTGGGTAGTCTTTTGAGGGTAGAGAACGTTATGCATATTTCCACAAATGTCATCAGTCTTCGTAACACTGTGGGAAATTACATCGTTGTGGTGAACAGTTGTCAGAAAAGCAAACTTGACCTATGAGATTAGTTTACAAAACTTTTTGCCAAGGCAATAATTTTTGTTTTTCAATATTTTTTTTGCAAATTATTAAATTTCTCTCCTTTCTAAATTTTAAAATTTTTATAATAATTTTCTCTCTATTTTTATTAATTGCAAAAAAAAATAATTGATTTGCAAATTGTAAATTCATTTTGTAATTAAAGTGATAATGTGTTTTTACTCATCGGATGGTTATTTTTTTTTTTTTTTTTTTTTTAATGGAATTTTATAAAGCCTTGGGAAAACAGGAGAATTTTATTTTTTTGATGAAAATAGATAGAATTGACGTTTATTTAAGTATCAAGATGGCCCTTGAGGGTCGACCAATAACTTAAAGCGATTTCTTTCTCCGCACAACTTATTCTTTTACTTTCTCTCCAGAGTCGTGGCGTTTTTTTTTCTTTTTTTTTCTTCTTCGTTTTGTTCCTCAACCTTCTTCTTCCAATCTTCTCTTTCCGTCATTCTAATATGCTTCCTCTTTTCGAGCACCAAAATCCTTTCACCCTTGGAAATCCTCGTGGAATTCGGCATTAATAATTCACTCGTTTTTGGTTCCACTATACATATATATATATATATATAGTCGCAAAGATACTCGTGCAAAATCCATATAGGAAATGGTTCCGCGAGCTTTAAAGTCATCTCTCTTTCTTGAATACTTTGCATTTCTTAATGCGCGTAACATCCTTGATCCAAATTCAGGTGTCAGACTTCATTCCCATTATTATTCACAATTTTGATATGATTCTATTTAGAAAAGTGTGGAAAATTTTGATAAAGTTTATTATTTTGTTTTTTTTATTTTCTTATTGGAAATCGTGTTTTCTGTTTCTTTTCACATACATACTCAAAAGTATATTTTTGAATTACATTTTAAAATTGTAAAACTGAATTTATTAGAGAAAACATGGAGTATTTTCTTCTCAGGAAAACAGCAGTTGCACATATATATATAGGAAAAATTGCTGAATTTACGCTACACGCGTAATATTGTGCTTGATATATAGATTTTAGTAGACAGCAGTTGAACTCTGCAGCGCAGCAGGCCAATAGAAAGAATATTAAAGGTATTTTATTCTGAAGTTAAATCGAAGCGCTCTACGTGGCGCTACATTGCTTTTAAACCATTTCTGCATTTTTTTTTGTTCCTATCACTTTTTTTTTTCTAGCACAGTTTTCAGATATAAAATGTATGTGTTACGATAACGGAAATTATTAAACAATTTTGGCGCTTACAATTTTGTTCCTTTAATTAGAATTTTCATTCATTAATATTTGTATAGCAAATAATTTATAACAAGCGAGATATAGGTCGATTTAATTATTTTCAAAAAGGGTATTATGTATCTGTAATTGGATCGAAGAGAATTTAATGCCGCATGAATAGGATTTAAAAAATGTTTCCTTATAGATTATGTTTAATTAGTTCCTTTTTTTTTAGTTTTTAATTTTATTCCCCCTTTTTTTGGAGAAATTTTTTTTTTTTATTCGAGAAATATTAATAGAATAATTTGAAAATGCGAATTATATTGATTTAAATTAGTTTCAATTATATTGTTAACATTTTGTGATATGACCTATGCAGTTTCATTTTATGAATGAATCAGTAAATCCGTTCTATTAACAAAAGAGAAATACGTAACTGCTGCAGGCGACGAGTGGACGCCGGCGTGGCGACGCCTCTCGTAAATGGATCCATGTCACTTGAATGTATTGCCTCTGCTAGCCTCTGTACTATTCATCTTTTTTACCGTTGTCGTCGTCGACAACAAAGAAATCGATATCACCGGAACCGAAATTCCACTGACAGTTTTTCCATCCACTATATATATATATATCGAGATGAAATTATTACAGCTTCATTGTCTCTCCAAGTTGTTCATTTCCCCCCCCCCCCAAAAAAAATTTACTTTTTCTTACAAATTGTGATTTTCTTGAAAAATAAAAATAAAGCAAACAAAGAAACGCAAAAGCTGAAATTGTAAGTGCTTTGAAAATGTGTCGCAATGCCGCTACACCTGTAATACTGCAGCGAAAGAAGTTTGCTCTTTTATCAAGAATTTCGGAGCGTCGTCGTGAGAATGTCTAGGGCTGAGGGCGAAGGGAGTGAAAAATATGGGGAAAAATAAATAATACACGTTGGCGAATTGCAGAGCGTCGTGAAACGTGACGAGGAAATGCCGTGGCGTTGTAAATAAACAGGAAAGAGGCGGAAAGCTTGGCGAGTGCCATCTTTTTCGAAGTGCAAAGTGTGTATATGTACAATATACTATATATATGCGCAAGTTGAGAAAACGTTGATTTGCTGTGTACCATTCGTATATATATATATGTATATAGATGAAACGCTCAAAAACCTTTGCTTCATCGACAACTTTCCTCGAGTTTGCCAGAAATCGTCTTATTTCTCCCTCTATATGAATTATTAATAATTTCTTCACATACACAAAATGAAAATACACGAAACCTTCTTCAAAATATTAAATTTTTTTCCACGTTCGAATCTTAAATTTATAACCTACTTCGATGTGCAACAGAACTTGCCACTTTTTAAAATTGTATTTCTTCTGCAACTTTCAATCAGTGAAAAAAATTAGCATTGTATAGAGTTAAAAAAAAATCAAAAACATTTCCTTTAGAAATATTTGTAAGGTTTTTTTTTATTTATTTCATTTAATCTAACGGGAACATTTTTTAAAAACTGCAGTGAGAAAAAAAATTTTGGTTCTTGTAACCAAATTTTGGTTGGCTGAAACAAAATCGTAGAGTTATCTCAACGAAACATTTGGTTAGGCCAACAAAATTATTTGGTTGTCCACAAATACTTCAATTGGATAAATATAAATTCAATGTTAAATTATTGATAGTAAATAAATAATGAAATAAATAAAAAAGATAAAAAGAAAAGAAGGTAGAATAAAATTTTTAATTTTACAAAGAAAACTGTTTGTTTGATCAACCAAACATTTTTCTTGACCTAACAAAAAAAATTTTGTTGAGCTAACCAAACATTTTTGTTATGCTAACAAAAAACACTCAACCAAATTTTTTGGTTGACTCAAACAAATAGTTTGGTTGCTTAAATACCAATAAAATTTTTTTATTGGCCCAACCAAATTTTCGTTGCTCTAACTAAACATTTTTCTCATTGTGAAAACTAGATTTCTGTATTATCCACAGAGTGCAACATTAGTCTTTTTTCTCGCTAACTTGAAGTAATATTTTTATGGGTTTTTTTTCTCATTCCATTATTTAGTGTTCAAATTAAATGCCTTGGGTATTTTTTCAAAATTTATGAATGGTTTAGTTAAATTTCTGTATTACCGACCCTTTTTTGAGTTTTTTTTTTGACAAGGTATCTTTTGTAATTTAAGAATATTTTTCTTTTTTATGTGAATAAAATTCAGGAAATAAGTTTAGTGATACTGATTCCCTCTGTTTTTTTTTGACCTATACATATAGAAAAATGTTTATTTCCCTTTTGTTTATAGACGAACATTGAAATGGGCCAATACACTCGATTTTATAGGCTATTAAGGTGAATTATGTTACAATTGGGTATGATTTCAGATTATCGAATAGAGAAATACGTGGAAACTTTGTTTTTCGACTCTCCCCCCGCCCTGTAGTTTGAGAATAATGGTTAGTAAAACTAAAACCTTTCAAATTCTCTTGAGATTTATAAAATAGTAAATATATATTACAATATATTCACGATAATAATATAAAGAACTAATAGTTCTTTCTTTACAATTACCATTTAAGACCCTATATAGAAAAAAAATTACAATCAAAAAATGGATTTATTATGATATATTAAAACAAAAAAAAATAATCTATGTTTTTATTTTTCAATAATTAAAGTTACGTTAATAATTTTTGTTTGTTTATTTTTTTACAGGTCGAAATGCTAAAAATGACAAATTCAAAAAAAGTGCAATTCCTGACATCATAGTGAAACAATTTTGAGACTTTTAGAACTTGGTCTCTTTGTAAGGTTTACTTCCAAATTTACATAAAAATTGGATCATTTAACCCAATACCTAGAGGAGGGATCTCCAAAGGATATTAGACTTGAAATGTTACACTTGATTTGGAGACTTGAGGGAAAAATTTTCAACAAATGGTAAGTAATTTTCATATTCTAATTTAATTGAAGATTTCAGTTTATGTAACCATGCTTTTGAGGTTTTTTTTTAGTTTCTATCTACATTTCAGTAGTGAAAGTAAATGTTATCTCAGACAGTTAGATTTATTTAATATTACTTTAAATAAACATTAGTTTTCATTGAATTTATAAAAATTTAAATATTAAAATAAAAAATATTCACAACTAATACACGTACTTTTTAGTCTTAAGTAGTAAAAGTAAATATTTAGTCAGACCTTGTAATTTTATTAGTAGAACAAATCAGTTCTAGTCAGACGTAATTAATAAATTGGAAAATTAGTAGAAAAGTAAATATTTAGTCAGACCTTGTAATTTTTTATAATTTTATTAGTAGAACAAATCAGTTTTAGTCAGACGTAATTAATAAATTGGGAAATTAGTAGAAAAGTAAATATTTAGTCAGACCTGGTAATTTTTTGTAATTTTATCAGTAGAGCAAATCGGTTTTAGTCAGACGTAATTAATAAATTGGGAAACTGGTAGAAAAGTAAATATTTTGTCAGACCTTGTCATTTTTTTAAATAATTATTAGTAGAACAAATCAGTTTTAGTCAGACGTAATTAACAAATTAGGAAATTAGTAGAAAAGTAAATATTTAGTCAGACCTTGTAATTTTATTAGTAGAACAAATCAGTTTTAGTCAGACGTAATTAATAAATTGGGGAATTAGTAGAAAAGTAAATATTTTGTCAGACCTGGTAATTTTATTAGTAGAACAAATCGGTTTTAGTCAGACGTAATTAATAAATTGGGAAATTAGTAGAAAAGTAAATATTTAGTCAGACCTTGTAATTTTTTGCAATTTTATTAATAGAACAAATTAGTTTTAGTTAGACGTAATTAACAAATTAGGAAATTAGTGATAAATATTTAGTCAGAGTTTATAATTTTTCAGTAGTACAAGTAAATATTTAATCAGACATTCTAAATTTTTGTACTTTGCGAGTATTACAAATTAATTGAATAATATTTTTTAAAATAAATTTTATTTGAAACCACAATTTTTTTTTTTTTTTTTTAATGAATATATAAACGATTTTTATAGTATTACAATAAAAAAAAACCAGCATAAAGATGACTATTAAATTTTAATAGATTTTGGTTTAAAGTTGAGACAATGAAATTTTATAGAGTTTTCTCTATTGTTATCGATTTGAATGAATTTAAATATATATAAAAACGAGATACTTTATACACAATCTCATCGACAGCAATTGGTAACTGAACCGGTATTTATATTGCATTGCAGACTATGAAACATCAAAAGTTCATGCCATCAAATAAATATATTTGAATAGAATTTTATTCGGTTGTATACATACAGTTAATTTACATTGTTTAAAAAAAAGTGAGAGAGAAACAAAAACAATCCATAAAGTGCGGTATTTAAAGTTTATAAAATTTTATTTCTGACTATTATCGGATAATTTTTTTCATATTTTAATCCATTAAATCTTTTTAATAGAAAGGTGAGAAATTTATTTATTGTCGAAGATTGTATTTTTTTTCGTGACTTTTGAGTGGTGGTAAAGATTTTTATTTTTACGAGACACACTTGATGGGGAAAAGCTTATTTTTCCGGTAGATATATATATATAGAGAGAGAGAAAATGGCGTGAAAGTACACGCAGGTATGAAGAAGGGGGGTGAGAGGGGGGCAGATCACTTGGTACTGTTTATGATACGAATAAAGTTAAATGTGGTGAAAATCTGGCTTAAACTGACAATAAATACGACCGTAAAGTTTTGACGTGATTATATCTGATCGGTTTTGGACCCGTTTTCCACGTTTCTATCGTGTTTTATCGTTTTACGAGTTGGTTTCCTGTATCACGTTGTTTGTGTATGTGTGAGTGTGTGTATGTGTGTACGCTAACAATGAGAAAACCGCAAGCAGTAAAGAGAGGTTATATCAAACCCAAAGATAAACCTCGCTATTGTCATGATTTTGCTGAAAAGCCTGTTGTTAATGATGGGAAAATTCCATTAATTTTTCTTTCATAGTTTGTGAACATAAGCTTTTTGAGAAATTTCTTAAACATTTAATTTTATTTAGTATTATTTTTAATTTTATATATGAAATTTTTTATCCAATTTAGTCGAACGTACATTTTTCTTAATATTTTGATCCATGGAGAAAGATCCAAACGTAATGTGTGATTTAAGTGGAAAAATCAAATATTTAGTCAGACATAAAAATTTAGTTTTTTTTTGTAAATTTTTTTTTTATAGAAAGTATTTTGGTTTTTAAATTTTAGTTTTATGTTCATTTTTTTTATGGTTTTTGTTAGTGTAAAATAGTGGAGAAATAAGAGTTGCCTTGAGTTTATTTTTTTTTTTTGGAATATTTAAAGAGGAAAATTGTTGTTATGATGAAAAGTAAAATGGCATATGGACTATGAGATGGAGTCCTTAATAATCCTAATATCGCACCTTATTATCTTCCGCCGGAGGTTGGCGGTACAAAACCCATTATGGCTTCTGTGCCCAACCAACAAACGCCCCCCCTCACCTTCCCCTCTTCGTTTTCCTCTATGTATCTCCTCGTTTAGTCTATTACGTGCTCAGGAATGTACAAGAGTTGCTTATGCATATGTGACGTTTCATGGAACATGTACTACACATTTTGAAGCTACAAAATCATTCTTAGTTGTATATGATATTATATTTAAATATATTTATTTATTTTTTATTTATTATTAATTTTAAATTAATAAAATATTTTTACCAGTAAAGAAAAGTATTTTTTTATTTGTTAATAATTAAATTTTCATTAATAATTTTTTTTTTATTGTTTTGCAGATGGAAGTGCTAAAAGTGTCAAATTCAAGAAAAAGTGCAGTTCCTGGCGTCATAGTGAAACAATTTTTGAGTCTTTTAGAACTTGGTCTCTTTGTAAGGTTTATTTCGAAAAAAAAATTTTGATCAATTAACCTAGAGGAGGGTTCTCCAAGGGATATTAGACTTGAAATGTAACACTTGATTTGAAGATTGGCGGGGAAAAATTTTCAACAAATGGTGAGTAATTTTCATAATCTAATTTAATTGCTTTATTGTGTATTTTGAAGTGTTTTCAGTTTTTAATTTTCAGTAGTAAAAGTAAATTTTATGTCAGACGGTTAGAATTTCTCTACACTGAAAAAAGGGTTTGTTATTGACAACCAAACCTTTGGTTGATATTTAAGCAACCAAAATTTTTTTGTTGAATCAACAAAATTTTAATTGTCTCAATCAAAATTTTGTTTGACACAACCAAAATTAGAAAAAAAGGATTTTTGTTGTCCTAACTAAAGTTTGATTGGGACAACCAAAATTTTGTTGATTCAACAAAAAAAAAATTGGTTGCTTAAATACCAACACACAAATTTAAAAATATCAAATTGATACCAAAAATATCAAATTGATACAAATTTTTATATCAATTTGATATTTTTGGTATCAATTTGATACTTTTAAATTAGTGTGAACCAAACGTTTGGTTGTCAATACCAAATCCTTTTTTCAGTGTATAATTAGTCGAAGTAGAAGTGTATTATTTTTCTAAAGTCGATTTACGTAGTAAAAATCGACAAAGTATCGGATATTTTTTTCCTATTACAATTTAAATGAATTCAATATTAACAAGTGAAAGAAAAAAAAAGAAAAACAAAAGTCGCCGTTTTTTTTAAATTAGTATATATTTAAATTGAATAATGGTCGTCGTTTTCATTGAATTTATGAAAATTCAAATATTGAAATAAGAATGAAAATACAACGTCGTCGTCGTCGCTTATTTCTTGTTAAGAAATGAATAAATTGATATCTTTTCTTTTTTTTTTTGGAGAAACTTTTACCCTTAAGGGAACTATGGATAGTTAGAAAGTTTTTAATTATTTCTCAAGAGGCTTTCATTTCAATAGGCACATACCACTATATAGCTTGCAGTTATGTTTCCCTAAGGAGTTTACTTTAAAATTTTCGTGAACGTCTTCTCTATTGCCAACACACGAGAGAGGCTTTAAAGGAATATGCGCATTTTACATGATAGAAATGAAAAGAATTGTTCTATTAGTTAATTTTGAATTCTCACTCTTTAATTTTTCTTTCATTTTTTTCTTTCCTTTTTATTCTTGGCACAATTTTTCATTGGAAGAAAAAAAAAAGAAAATTTCTTACAAAAGTACGATAATAAATTTTCTATCGGTGCAGAGAGTTTTAAGAAGCACTTTTAAAAAGGAGAACTTTTTCAATAGCGTTTATATGAAAGAAACGAAGAGCCATATAGAAAAGTCCAGAAAATTCGTTATAGTTGTTTGAAAAAAAGCAAATTGTTGGAGACTTTTTGAAATAATCGTCTTATTCTTTTTTTCGGGTGGAAGAGGCGATCGTCATAGAAATTCTCATTGTCCATTGCTTTGTTTCAAAAGTCTTTGTGTGGAGTAGTTTTAACAAGCTAAAAACTTCACCTTTTATCTCTTATAGTTGAAGGCAAAAAAAAAAAAATTCCATGGTTGGACGTTCAGTTTACCAAGACGGAAGTTTTAATCTTCTTTAAGGGGGGGTGGATAATCGTTAAATCGTCAAGTTTGACTTTTTCCCAAGTAAAAAAAAAAAAAAAAAATTTTTTTTCAAGTTGAATTTTCTAGTTATAAAAATAGATACTTGAATTTATTGAAGTCTCGTTAAATAATTCGCTGGGGTAAAATTATCTGAAAAGTATCAAATTGATCTACATTTTTTAAATCAATTTTCTTTTAAATTAATTGGTAGTTTTAAATAGTCTGAAAAAAAATTGTATAAATTCTATTATCCGTTATACGTACAATTAGAGTGAATTATTGAATAAAAGGAGAAATAGTAAGTGGAAAATGGTGAAGAGAAATGAACAAGACAGGTTTAAATTCGGCGTATCGATTTAAACTAATTTTCTAATTCAATTTATTGAGACAGAGTTTATATGTTCAGGGCAAAAGTTCACGTTCGGAAAATAGTAGGTGTTAAAAGATTCAGGAGATTGAACGGGCTGAAACGTCACGCTCATTCCACCGGATGCTACTTTTATAATATATATATATACACACATCAGTATCGACTTGCGCTCTAGGACGACGGCTTAAGTTATTATTTAAGCTCGGTAAATGCTGGCGCGTGAGATGCTTTGCTTTGAATATTTCAGGTGTGTGAATTTCAGAAGCTTTCACTAAACAAGCAAGATATTAAAGGATTAATAATACTTTCTCATTAGAAATATATCTTACTTTTTTTTTTAAAAACACACTCGTATTATTTAAATAAATTCTTTGTTTAATTTCACCCCACTTGGAAAGATTCCCCGGAAAGTGCACCCTGGAGGTTCTATCAGAATTCCGCCGGAACTTAATTCCGTCGGAATTCCATCGGAGTTCCAAAGAATTTCCGATGGGATTCCGACGGAGTTCCAACAGAATTCTGACGGAATTCCTATTAATTTTTTCAAAATTTTTGGAGTCCCAATTCCGTCAGAATCCCATCGGAAATTCTTTGGAACTCCTATGGAATTCCGACAGAATTAAGTTCCGGCGGAATTCTGACAGAACCTTCAGGGGAATCTTTCCAAGTGGTACTAATCTCTCTATTATATAAATTGTTAAAATTAAAAAAAATTTTCCCTAATTTTTATTTCAAACTTTTTATATAAAAAAAAAACAAACTTTTTTTTGTATTTTGATAATTTTTGAGAGACGAAATGAGGAAATGAAACAATAACTAAAGAATTTGAAAATCAGTGAAAATGGAATAAAAGGATAATTTGAAAAAGATTACCTATTCACGAGATGTCCAATTTTACGATTAAAGTAATTTACATAATTATGGAGGGAAATAATTTTCTGCACCTGACTAAGATTCAAATTAGCGACGACTAGTGCATTAAAGTGTAAAGTGAATGCAGTTTGAATGAAGGTCGATTTTAGTTGTCGATTATTATATAAAATTGCAAATGTGACTTTTTGGGAGAAAAAAATTTTTTTTTCTTTTTAATCCTTATATTTAAAGACGCCAAAGGACGAAAATGCGTCTTCTGTATAAATTGGCTTTCTCGAATCCTGCTGTTTCCTGTGCTCGATAATTGGCTTAACCCGCAGAAGCTTTTGCCAGACAATAGAGAGATTCTCAGCCGCGGAATTCTGCCGTCCTTGCGCGCAACCTCATTCGCATTCATTGGTTTCCAATTAATTTCTACAAAGCGGAGAAGTTATTAAGCTGCTAATTGCAAAGCTAGCAGAAGTAGTGAACGTCACTGATTAGAAATATATATAATAATAAAAGGATATGACGGTTTTTTTTTCTCTCACAATAATACGTGTGAAGTAACTCTTTCTGAATTTCTTTTTTGAAAATTTTGAAAAAATATTATCAGAAATAATCTAGTTTAATTTTGAATTTATCAAAAAATGACTTATTAAATGTCTGACTAAACTATGAGTTTTGCTACTAAAAATCAATATTTCTATGACGTCTGACTAAATAGTTAATTGTACCACTGAAATTCATTTCTTAAATTAAAACGATATTTTATCGACTATCTGACTGATTTAATCTTTTAGATTTTCGATATTTTCGAATATAATTATTTCATTCAAAAGCGTCTGACTAAATAAGAACTGTACTACTGAAAATCATATTTTAAATAGATTTTGTATTCCTGTTCTAACCTAGTACGCTCATGTACTATTTACAGTCATTTAGAAATAATTCAGAATATTTTTTTGTCTGTATATTGGAAAATTTATTTTCATATTCTTTTTTTGTATTTTTTACATTTTTAAATTTTATTATTTATAAATTTCTATATTATTATAAATTGCGTTTAAAACAAATCTTCTTTGTATAACACGAGTTCCTTTACGATATCCAATATCTTTGAAATTCAAGATATTCTAAGAGAGCTGATGATAGTTTTAGGGCATTGAATATAAACTCCATCGTTTAAAAAAATATATTATTAAATTCTACAATTATTCTTAATTTTAAAATAAATTTTTTATTTTTAATTATTCTTTCCAACTTGTATATTAGTATTCTTCAGAATAAAAAAAAAAAACGAGAAAAAGTTTCATTATTTAATGGAAAAGTATATTTCTCGAGAATTTCCGCATTTCTTTTGATCTAGTTTGAAGAGAAATCATTTATTTATATATAAAGAGAAAGAGAGAGAGAAAGGAAAAACGAGAAATTCATGTTGAACACGATGATGCGACAAACCCTTAAAATTAGTTCGATGAGTTCCGTAGAAATTTCTTAGAAAAGTTGAAAATGGGTCGACGTGACGATGGTGTAACTGCATCTTGCATTCTCGATTCCTCGGCACGTGCTTCGCATTAAGAAATGTCCTGAGAGACTTTTTGAAATGAGATTTCTCTCCCCGAAGATGTCCCATTTTCTTATATAGGCCTTTTTGCATTTCAAACAGAGTAACTTTCTGACATAACGCAAAACAAAGTTAACTTTTTTCTTTAACCAACAATGCTTGTTTCCATTTTACAACTTTGAAAAGCATATTATATTTTTTTATTAATTAATTTTTGTCTAAAAGTGAAAAATTACACTGAAAAAAAAATTTATTTGATTCAAATACCGGTGTATTTGGTTATTATCAAATAAATATTTACTTGAATCAAATATTTCTTATTTGAATCAAATAAACGGTATTTGCTTCAAATACTGAAATATTTGATTCAAGTAAATATTTATTTGATAATAACCAAATACACCGGTATTTGAATCAAATAAATTTTTTTTTCAGTGTACTATTATTCGATTTGAATAAAAAAAAAATAAGCAAATTTAATAGAAATAAATAAAATAATTATAAATATATATAAAGTAAATTAAATGTCAAGTTTTACTGCTGAAAATATTAAGTGAAAAGTCCAATTAGAGTTAAACGTGATGAAGGAGATGAAGAATTTATTTTGTCTGACTTAATAGAGATGTTTCTACTTGTTGAGTGATGTCACTACGTTATCTTCAGTGGTAAAACGTACCTGCGGTCAGACTAT